GGTGGTGCTCTGATCACTGTCAACTTTTCTAAAATTGTTCTCTCTACCTACATGACATAGAAAAGTTCAATATAAATTGCGGAATACATTTTATTGCATCAAATCAATAAAGTTATTGCTGATTTGTAAACACATTTTTAAATTCTGATTAAGTTTATGAGTAATTAATTCAAATTGTAGTTCCGAATGAAAACAGAGGGGAATGTAATGATTAAAGTGATAAACCTTGTAAGACATTTTCCAACACGATCGTGACAAAGTTGTCTCTGTCAAATCTGGACTGTTCATGGTAGAAGCCCAGTGCATGGAGGATCTCGTGCTCAGTAGTGTCAGTGGAATCACAGAATCTCCCGATGGAAAGCACCTGTCCATTGGGCTGCACCTTCCCAACATATGAAAAACATCTGAAATGCAAAAGGACATTCTCAGCACTGATTACAAAAATAAAAACATGTTTAACTTTTGCAGCCTGAAGGGTACATCGGGCAGCCATTTCAGATAGTAATAGAATGTTCTGCTTCCTTTTTATTGGTTTATTAGGAACAAAACTTATTTCTTAAAACCCTCCAAGCTGATATAATCACCTATAAAGTCTGATTAAAGACAATTTACCAAACAATTTCTGTAAACCAACAACAAAATAAACACAATTAGGCTTCAGTGCGGTTCAGTTACACAAATGCTTAGTGTCACAATCACCTTTATCAGTAAATTGAAACACAAATAGTTTCAGAAACACTAAATGCCTACTTGCTTGCATTCAACTGAACATTTGTAATGTTATGGCTGTCTGGGCTACTTTTTATGATGCACAAGGATTCATATTGAAATTATATTCTTTAAATAACATTACATCATATCACATTTCACGCTAGGTTTTGTCTAGCTGTTGATATCACAGCTGTATTCAGGCAAACTGGACATTCTTAAAATGAAATAAAACAAAGAAAACTAAATACATACCCATCTTTTTTCTCAAAAGAAATGTAGTACTCCTCAGAGCCCCTGGGTTTGAAATCAATGCATGTCTTTAACCTGAACTGCTCAAAGGCTCTCAGGATGACTCCTTTAGCATTCATTTCTGCCATTGAGAATAAAAAAATAACGTTATAGATAAATGCATTTGGAGACTGATTGAACTGATGTGACAGTACTTTAATTTCTATAACTTTATGTGTTTTCCAATTACAAACTTTGGAACAATGCTAACATGCAGTGCACAGACTTTTTGAAGGGCAGGGGCGGAAAGAAAGAAAAGGAGCACGTATAAGGTGTCCTCACCACTGTAGAGACACTTTTTGTGGATACGTTTTATATGCTTCCACAGGTGCACTTGAGGGCAATCTAGCACACATTTTGTCTTCCTAGAGGGCACTTTACCTTAATGATGTGGGGCTTGTTTCTGTACAATAGGACAATGCAGAAAACATGTGCACTTCCCTGAACCTACTTTTCTGAACTGCATTTCTTCATACTCAAACATGGACAATAATCATCATTGGCAAGCTGAGTGATTTCTGCAAAAATGCATTCAAAACAACGAAGAAATTTTCCTTTAGGAAATATAAATGGTATTTACCAAGACCACTGTCGAAGACATACGGGACAGGGGAGGTCCACAGCTGGTCTGCATCAACTATGCCACTCCTCTGAATGTTCGGTGTCTGAGATATACATTTGAGTCATACGGCGTAATACATTAAATTGAACACAATGCATTCATTTATGTGATTCATAAATTTTTACATCTTTTTTTTTTACTAAAGAAAATGTTCAAACTTACCTCAATAATGTCATCGTTTAACAACCCTGGAATTAAATATTGGAATTTATTGACTTTCAGAAAGAGGTGACAGCTATTTTTGACAAGAAAAGTTTATGAAGATAATTACCTTTGTTTGCATCTGTAATACTCTTCTCCTCAATAATTTCTATAAAAAAGCATGAGATTGCGTTATATACAGATTTGTCCCAAATAGGCTAGATGAATATTGTTTAATATAATAAAATATATTAAATCAAATAACTTACCCACTATGTCCGATTCATTCTGTAATTAAAAGTGATTATTTTAGATATGAAAAAAAGATAAATCTCCCCATCTTATTGCTTGCTGTATATGAAAATGTTTAACTGAATTTTCTTGGGGTTAAAAATAGCTTTAATGGCACCTCTTAAAGTCTAACTGTCATTTTGTGTGAGACATGCTGAAACAGACAAACTTCAAATGAACAAGATGACTTCAGATGTTTAGAGACAACAATGATTCAAATCTTACAGTGTTTGCAGAGAACGTGGATGAAATTGCCAGATTCACCAAGAGAAAAACGTAGCCTTTCATCATGGTGATGAATTATGGAATAATTCAGGTCTGTTATGAAGAGCTAGGAAAGAAATTCAAATATTGAAATGCAGTTATGATACAAGGTATTTGATGAAGTTTAACTGAGTGGTCTGTTGTCATATTTGCTTACCCTCTGCCTCTGTGACTGTCTGATGTTCAACTGCTAATGAGAGGCTTCAGTGCAGTTGCAGGGTATTAAGTCACTGGGAACTGTACACGTGACGGAACATATGTTTCCTGGTCTTTGTTTGAAGTTATGTAGGATATTTAAACAACTTGTTTTACCTTGTGTGTGAAAAATGACGTGACTCGTCAGTGTCACCTGCTGCACTGCCCACACTGCTCATCTCAACAATACAAAAATGTTCCCTTCAAGATGAAGTTCACACCTTATATGAACAATATAGTGTACAAGTATGAATAAAGAGGTTTTCTCTGTGATTTCTATTATTCATAATCATATTCTTCATCAGATTAAGAGCAAAATATTTATAAATCATCAGAGTGAAAGACAAAGAATGTCATTTGTGTTTGACTTTTGATATTTGGACATAGACACACACAGATGTCTTTTTAAAATGATTTAATTCCCTTTGAAAATGGACTCCAGCTTCTTTAATGCCTTTTGATATTTTATGTCAAAAGCTCGCCTATGTAAGTTGGCATTGCATTGAAATAATAAACCCATGAAAAGGCCAAGGAGTAACGTTTATTTTTCCCAGATCCTTTTTGTTCTCATTCAATACATGTTTCTAAAACACTCTAAAAATAGTTAAAAGTTATTTCTCAATAATGTCCTTAAAATAGACATTTACACTGGTGAAAGCCGCGAAACACCAGGTAATGGTCAAATTCTGGCCTAAACATGCACTATTTAGAGCTGAGGGTCAAAACACCTTGCCTGCTTTCGAATTAATGGATGGCTGCTATTTCTCCTTACCTGAAACTAATTTGCTCAAATTCCTGATAACGATGCAAACAGTCTTCCTCATTTATATGGTATGGTAAGTCAAAAACATTCTCCGGTAGTCTTCTGTCTACTGTTATCAGGTAAATCAGCTTGTGTAGGGTTTTGAGCAAGGTTTTTAACATTAATAACGCAAAAGGTTTCAGATCCAAAACATTTCAGAAACCGTATGTGTCAAACATGATACAAATTTTGATTGCAAGATCATTTTTTTATGTTAACATTTTGGACTAGCAGCTTGACAGATATGAGGAGACAAGACAGTATCTTGTGGGTTATTTGCTCTGCTAATTTGAATATTTTCACACACAGATGAAGTGTTATGACTGATTCTGAGTTTATCAAAGTGCAACACAGCAGAGGTGTTCATCCTAAGCTTTTGTTGTCATAGTTTGTAATCACATGTCCATATAAGAAAAAAAGACAAAATGAACCTGGCCTTAACTAATGACGTGAGAGTGATATGCTGCTGAAAGTATGCTCCATTTCACCACCTTCACAAAAGGACATGACAAAGCAGAACGATCACATCTCATTGTATAACCTTTTAGAACCAGCCGTCACAAGGAAATACAAAAGTTCCAGGAAACCAGACAGTATATAATAAAGTGACAATGACAAGTTTTGACATGGTCACCATCCTAACAAATGACATAGGATGAACGTTTGGTCATGCCTGTCTCTCTACATTCTTTGGAACAATGGTTTATGGAACGCTGTCAACATATATGCGCCTCTCACGTAGTTTCTACTTGTTTGCATCTTATAAAAAAGGTTAAACTTTGCCCACATCATGAGCATAACCAAGTCAAAAAGTTTAGGACATGGCATCTTAAAGTTTTTTTAAGTATTCAAGTTTTCCAGGTGAATATGTTATATATCTGTCTTTATTGAAATGACACTTTCCCTTATGATGTTTAAACTAACAGAAGCATAATTTATTTTGCCAAGATCCCAAAGTAACATCAATAAAGAGAAGTATTCTTTTTAAGTTACTTTCAAAACTGAAAAACTCAATTATTTCATGAGGTTTGTCATCCATCAGAAAAACAAAAAACCAAAACAAACTCCTACTACTTTTCCCTCTTCACTGGTGTCCATTAGAAAACTGGTCTGATAATTCCCTTTTGATGCAATATGTTAAATATTCAAATGGCAGCTGAGACAGACGACTACCCAAACAACAAAGGAGCTAAGCCACCAGTCTGCGTCCACTCATGTAGTCAAATTATAATCAAATACATTACAATTTGCTGGTCCTCCAGTTTAATCTCACAACGGAGCTGATGTCATGCTGGACGATCATTTATCAATGGCTGTGTTGATTCCAGGGTTCCAGCAGCCACACGGTCGCTTAACAAAGCCACTAGTAATAAAATGTTATTTAATCGATATTTCAAATCAGTTATAAAGTCTCTGCTTTTTAAGAAGAGATTGATTTCAACACAGACGCAATGAACACATGATGTGGAAAAACTGGTTTTTCCGTCTAACCAATTTGGACACGTTATCAGACATTAAAATGAGATGACAGCAGTGAGAGGAAAACTGAAGCCAGTTTCACTTTATATCTAAGGATAATAAGATGTGAATGAAGCAGGTATTGCAGTCAGCACTGCTCCAACATGATATAATTATATTTTCAGGTTTTTTGGTCAAGGATTGCCTGATGTCCAGGGAAAGATTAAGCTTAAGATGGGAACATAGATACTATTATAAGAGCAGTGCCGTTGAAAATCTAACATGTATGCTTTGCATACCTATGCCGACTGTGGGTGACCAATACAAATGCACAGTAGCAGCCACCATGTCACTTGTGTTACTAATGCTTTATTAATAAATATAGCTAGAAGTGCTACAATTATTGAAGGGGGGCTTAAAGCATATTTCACAAATGTCACGTTTATACAGCCAAAACTTCTTTGGAGTTATTAATATGAAAACCATGATCAAAACTGTGCAGTTTTTCCTCATGTAGCATGCACGGAGTGATGAACTTAATGGAGGTGAATGTCAAGTAAATCAAAACTGATTGATGATAGATAGAATTAGTGTAATATGTTTTGTCCTCGGTATTGTTCACCAGAGAGCAAAGTAATGCGAGGATTGTCTGCTATGAAGCCATATAGAGCTGCACAGGCATCTATTGGCTCTTGGTCAAAAGTATATTTTTATAGCATACGTTTAAGCAATCAAAGTTGAAAAGAATTATTAAGAATAACTGAGCTACTCCTCGTGACGGAAGAGGAGATTATAGCTACTGATAACATGCAGTCTTCTCATGGATGACTGCCAGTTATGGGGTGTGTTCTGGACAGGTTGCTGAATGATTTAGCATAGTTAAGAAAATAATGTCATTTCCTCATTTTTGAGTCTGTTTGAAGAAGTCATCAGCTATGTCGCTTGAAGTGATGGCATGTTTTTCATTAAAATAAATAATTTGACATTGAGTTTAACACCTATTTCATATCTGTCCATTTCATTGGGCAGATATTTAATTAAGTGTATGTATGTTTGAATGAATCTTTAATCACATCAAAGCTATCTACATATTCTGTTTTAAAATCCTCAAGCATAGTTTGGAGAAGTTACTTAACAAAGAATTAAAGATTTTTTTTACAATTATAGTTGCTGTTTAGCTTGAAAATTTGTGTGGCAACGTGGAAAATAAAATAAAAACAAAACAAATAAAAAACAGAAGCATAGAAGTCTTAGGGCCTGTAGTCTCAAAGAGGCTCTTTGGCTGTGTGTTTGAGCTAATAAAATCGTCCTGAGGCACATGTTTGTGATCTGTTTTTTTGGGTCAGGCTTAATGTTTTCAAAGTTCTAAACTTTCTAAATTCTAAAATGCATCAACCTCAGCTACTTTCCCCGTTTCCCTTAGTTAAAGTATCAAAGCAGAAGGCATTATCAATTACATTCATTAAAATAATTTGTTTGAGAATATAAAAAAAACATATGATAAACTTACCTGTTTTAGAGAAGAGGTTTAGCCTTATGTTCCTAATTAACTTTCAGGTTAGATAAAAGTAGTAGTACATTTTTGTAGCAGATATTCTATATTTCTATATAGAAAGTAATATATATTGTATATTGTAAAAATGTAAATATACTAAATAGACTTAAAAGGTGACCCTCCTTTGGAATCAGTAGTGCAAAACTGTTTCGACATCCCATTGATACAAAGTTTCTATTCAGCTTGTCAACATGTTAATAACAACTAGAAGTGTGGTGTTCTTTCCCAGTTTGATCACTGGGTGGCAGTGTGACATCTCCCAGTAACTTAGCAAGCACACAACTGGGGGTCAGTCCTTATAGTATCAGGGCAGTTCAATATTGTGCTCAGATAGCTGACTAAATGCCACAGATCTACTGCAACAACCTTTGTCCATGAAAATGTTTAAGATAAGATTATAACCTGCGACAAATAACTAGGATAAAATCAAAAGGACAAAACGTCTCATTGGATTAAGTGCAATAAAATTAAAGTGGTCAGAGTCTAAATACTTTTTAATTGTGCAAATACTCCTGTTAAATAAACAGAATTAAGAATTTAAAACACAAAAGCTGTCTGACTTAATGAGAAAGGAATCAGAAAAAACATCCTTGGATTGTCAATGTGATTCGGCATGCAGCCATCATTCACGGCTGATTCTTATCAGTCAGAGCTTGCTAGCTTGGTTTTCTGTCTTTTTTCCTGAAAATTCCAGTAGCATCTGTTAGCTTTAGGGAGGAATTGGACTGAATTTTTGCTTTGCTGAGGGGTCAAAGTAATTTCCCTCTTCTGCCCTAACTGCACATCATAAGATAATCTTTTCATGGAGCGTTTGGGGAGTACAAGCTAAGTACTGTGACAGTGGTCCAGTTTAAGCAGTGAGCATGTTAACTGGATGTTCTTGCGCTGAATGTGACATATCAGGCCGGGGATACAACTCCCCTTCCCCATTGAAGTCAAACAACTTTTGTTTTTGCTTGCTTTCCCATCTTAATGAGGTCTCACTGTCATGCTTTCTGTTTCAACTCTTAGAGTAGGACCTGGCAGAGTAGCCATTTGTTAGGGTTTGGTCACTCATCTGTATGTTCAGTACATACTCTGTTGCTACCCTCCAACACTACAGTATACCGATAAAAAGTCATATGAAGCCATTACATTAGAGCAAAATGCTACACTGGATTTATCCATTGATAAATCATTTCTAACATATTTCTTTGGCTCATGTATTCCTTGAATCTGTTCTTTTCTCAGTTATGGCGTGACTAGACTGAAATTGTACCACACTGAAATGATAAGGGGCAAGATGAAACAAACAACACCGCTTGAGGGCATGGACTGTGACAGGCTGACGTACAGCTGCAATCTCCTTATCTTTGCTGGCACCGCTGTGCTTGTCAAACCAGTCCCGAGAGTCAAGCTATGACCTCTTATCTGCAGCAAAACAAGACCAAATTAGTGTGTCTATGTGCAAGATGCATCCTGTTAAAAAGAACGTGTTTGTCCGAGACCATCCCCACCTCCCCGGTGTGTTATTAGTCTAAGAGTTTGGCCGAGGTAGACATCTGTGTAGTGTCCTAAATGTGCCCATTGGAGTCAAAGACTTGACAACACCTTTTGGCAGCGTTCACTAAATAGGGCTCCTCCCCACACATGTGCAGGTTGGAACATGAAAAAACCTGATAATACTTTATCTGAGACTGTATATCACTGTGGAAACATTAGCAGAGCAACAGTAAAGCTTTTAATTTTTCTCGTCAATGAAATGCTGTAAATATAAACCCTCTCTTTCTTACATGTCGCCTATATCCTCGTGTGTGTTTTGACCTATTGTCAGCGGACCTTAACCCTCCACGTTCAATTTTGGCAACATCACCAGTGGGAGGATAAGCAGGACATTGCTGTGCTAGTTTTACAGACACAACATATGTTAGATTTTTTTATGCTTGTTTTCAGTTCAAATCAGAAAATAACACATTCTTATCACTTGCTACATTTGTTCAGTGTATGCTGTGGGGACTTTGCTGATTTATTCTTAATTTTAATCCTTTTCTTCTCTCAGCAATCATTTGATTTCACTGTTCACACGTCTGAGGTGGAGTTTTACAGCATGCATTGACAAGCACGAGAATAAGAACAATAATCGGCCTCTGGAGAAACGAAGAGGCGAAACCAAGACGGGAGGAAGGACATGTTAAGACAAGGGAGAAAATGTTCAAATGCCCGTTAGCTCCTCAGGGAAAAAAACACAAAAAAACAGCACCTGTCCCATCAGTAAATGTGGCTTGTGACCAGTCATTAGAAATCAATGTGCTGACATGAGTGAACATCTCAAGCTTTTTGTGTGTGTGTTACGAAAGTGCAAATTCTCCACGTGCAAAGTTAACAAGACGCTGCCCACTTCTCAATTTAAAGTGTATTTGTTTATTTAAGATAACTTACAGCAATGACAAAAATGGCACAGTTTACAACTTTCTGACTCGGTAAAAACAATATATACACGTTAAACAAGTGCAAGGTTTGCTTTGCTATTTTCAGCTTTGCAATAAATATGATGACGTGTATATTAAAACAGTTGAATTCATTTTACAGTGTAGTTCGGCGATCTAAACTGTTATGTTTTATTTTCAAGCAGGAATACACTATCATGGTTGGGTTCTTGTATAAATTATGTCTCCTGGGGTCTAGACTGCTTTAGTTGGACTCGACAAACGACTGGTAGAGGGAAGTGAGCTGGGCCTGGAGGTCCTGAGCGTAGGGGTCCAGCTTTCCTCTCAAGTCCTCGGCATAGGGCGCCACCATCTGCTTCACCACATTGGCTCTCTGACTGAGTTCCACTTGGACCTTCTCAGTCATTGGCGCCACACTCTTTTGGAATTCCTGCAGGTGCTGGTCCACCTTCTGCTTCAGGTCATCGGTGTAGGGTCCCAGCTGAGCCTGGAGGTCCTTCACGCTCTGCTCCAGGCTGGTCTTCAGCTCCTCGCTCCTCTGCAGCAGAACGCCTCTCAGGGCCTCAGAGTCCAGGGATTCGGCGTAGGGGGCCAGCTCCTGTTTGAGCTGCTCCACTCTCTGCTGGATCTGGGCCTTCATGTTCTCGGTGTAGGGCTCCAGATTGTCCCTGACGGAGCTCAGCTCCTGGGTAAGTACGTTCTTCAGCACATCAGCTTCACTGCTAATCTTGCTCATCAGGTCGTGGGCTGCAGGGGGAAGCTGCTCCTGCAGGGAGACCGCATACCTGCTGGCTATGTCAGCGCTTTCTGTCAGACGGGTACTAGAAAACAAGGTGATTGTCATTAATTTAGAGGTTTGTGAAACACGTATCGATCACATGACCTGTGTCACCTAGACACTGGAGTGCTAATTATGTCACAGAACTTACTTGATTTCCTGCCCAACTGGTGATTTCCTGATCATCTGGAGGGTGTCATCAGCTGTCTGTGTGGCCTTGGCAATGTAGTCCCAGAAAGCGTCAGTCACCACTTCCAGCTGTGGTTTGGGTGCATCAGCATAGAAGATGTTGGCATGGCAGCCTGTTGGATGGAGATAACAATACTGTGTGAGCAGTGCAAATATCTAACTTACTGTTCCTGGCTTCTGCCATCGGCGTTAAACTGAAATGAAAAATCTTGTGACTTACCGGAGAGCACTGCTACAGCTAGTACGACAAGGATTCTCATGACTGACTTGTTGAAAGATTGCAGTGGTCTAAAAATGATCTATTAAGCTATACTCACAAAGGTTCTAGAGATTTAAATGAGCCTTCTCAATTTCTTAAAATCTTGTAGATTCTGTGCTATTCTCTGTATCGCCCAGAGCTCAGTGTGTTTGTGAATGTGCTGGTCTGGGGCTTCCGTGTATATATACTGAAGTCAGATGACAGTTGTAGACAAGAGCACAAAGTCCAGGAGTCCCTGCCATGCTGTCACAAAGACGCTTTCCTGTGTCTCTGTAATAATATCACAGTGCTGCTGTATTTCAGAAATGTCCTGACAACATATATTCAGCTCCGTGATGAATAATATATTGTTTCTCTTCTGACCTGTCAAGCTCTACATGGATGAATGAATTAACTCAACTGCAATACTTCAATATAACTTTGGATAATAATGATGTTATCATGCTTATAATATTTAACTGAAAATGTATTAAAATACATTCTCAAATAGTAAGTTAAAGTTGTATGTGTTTTTAGATCTTTTATTTGATTTGTAATATTATTGATATTGATTTAAATGTATTTTCTTATCATAGTGTTACAACAGCTTTAAAGATAAATCCTATAGGATATAATCTTTCAGTCTTTAGAGGAAGTGGTTTTGCACATTGCCCTGATATGCACGTGGACGCGTAATCTGAGAGTAAAAAGAAAAGTTACAATTAAAGCCATGTTTGTCTGAATGCATTTTTTAAAATAATTTCACTCATAACTTTCGTCAAGGGAATATGAAACTGCTCCAGAACACTTTTTAACACTTCCATGAAGGAGGGTGTTTTCTTCGAATATTTCAGTTTATTGCTTCATACAGTTCTCATGAGAATATCTACCAGTTTAGGAGCATGAGGGGTCAAAAACTGGTTCATGAGAACTGAACTATGGTATGTCTGGTGTGAGACAGCAGTTACTTTGTCCCTAAGAGGCTGACGGTGTCTGACTTTACCGACCTTTGGCCACACAGACACACATGACTGCTGAACATTGGATTGACACAGAAACTGCAACTATTAATTGCTGGGACGTGAGCTGGAAAATGTTCACGTCAAAAGCGATCCTTTTCTTGTAATAAGTACTTGACCTGTAAGAATTATGTCTTGGTTGGGAGTTGTGGCTATCATAAATTGCCATGCGAGGCTTATATAGGGTTAACTTTATAGATTTGTTTTACTCTAACAATGAATAAACATGTTTTTACATACTCCTATTGAGGCTGAAGATCAGAACATTCATCATCATGGTTTAACAAAAACATGCCTTTAGTGGATCAACATGGAGAAATCAAGTTCAATACAACCATATACCCAGCATGTTTGCATATTCATTTAAATGAAGGGCTTATGTATGTGTCTTGCTTTAATTATCTATATGTCAGTAGGGATAACAGGGTGAGGCGAAGTGACAGCAAGGCACTGCCTCTTGGACTTTGGGATCATTACAGTCTGGATGGGTATATAAGCTGTTGAACTTCACCAGCTGAGCACAAGCACAATCAAGTGGTTTAACAGACACACTTGCAAACTCAGGTAAGAAGATGGAAAAAAGCTGTATCTCTCTTGCTGTGCAAATGCTTTGATGACTAACCGTTTGTCTTTTTCTACTCAAAAGGGTCTTAGAGCCATGAAGGTCATTGCTGTGCTCGTCTTGGCCGTTTTCACCGGTGAGTATGCTGGAAAAATAGTTCAAATATAATGCAAATTCAAGCCTAAATGATTCCTGTCCTACATTGCTGAAATATTTGTGTTCTTTTTTCTACCAGGCTGCAATGCCAACATCTTCTATGCTGATGCTCCGAAGCCACAAATAGAAGTGGTGACTGAGGCTTTCTGGGACTATGTTGCCAAAGCCACCCAGACCGCTGACGACACCCTTCAGATGGTCAGGAAGTCTCAGTTCGGACAGGATGTCAGGTAAGTCCCACCAGACCACGCCGGCTTCACTGGCACACATACTCTAAGCTTCAATTCTCACTCTGGTGCTTTTCTTACAGTGCCCGTCTGACAGAGAGCGCTGACGTCGCCAGCAAGTATGCAGTGTCCCTGCAGGAGCAGCTTCCCCCTGCTGCCCAGGAGCTGATCACCAAAGTTACCACCGAGGCCGACGTGCTGAAAGAGCGTGTGAGCCAGGAGATCATCTCAGCCAGGGAGAAGCTGGAGCCCTTCACCGAGAACATGAAGGCCCAGATCCAGCAGAGAGTGGAGCAGCTCAAACAGGAGCTGACCACTTATGCTGATATGGACTCTGAGGCCCTGAGAACCACCCTGATGCAGAAGAGCGAGGAGCTGAAGGCCAGCCTGGAGCAGAGCGTGCAGGAGCTGCAGTCTCAGCTGGGACCCTACACCGACGACCTGAAGCAGAAGGTGGACCAGCACCTGCAGGAATTCAGAGAGAGCATGGTCCCCATCACCGAGAGAGTTCAGACCGAGCTCACTCAGAGGGCCCAGCAGGTTAAAGAGATTGCCACTCCCTACGTTGATGACCTGAGGGAGAAGCTGGACCCCTACGCTCAGGACCTCCAGGCCCGTCTCACCTCTCTCTATGATTCCTTTATCAAAGCCAACTAAGTCAACCTCAAGCTTGAAATGTACCAAAGGACCTGCATTCAATAAAATATAATTCACAGATCTCTGATCTCTGGACTTTTCCTTGCCAGCACAACAACATTAATTACCAATATTTTATAAACTTGGATGTCATCAGATGTACAACAAAAATGTGTCAGTCTGCGACCACACACTGTGTTCTCTTCCTATATTATGGAAAATAAAGTAAAAGCAAAACCGCTTTCAATGCCTTATGTGTGTGTGTTTTTTATTGAGTTGTTCTTGCAAATATAAGCAACAAATAAATATCTTTATAGTATAAATTAAATACAAACCAAAAATAAAAGACAAAACTTTGTACATCCTTATCAGACATGGACATGCAGACAGAAAACTGTTCATCAAAATGATGCCTTGAATGGAATGGCGCAAAAGTATAATATTTTGTAGTGATTTCAGCAGTTCAAATCAATTACAAGTGGAACATCCAGGTTGTGCTTTCTTCACTTCTCAATAATGTGACGTTCTCCAAATGTGAATGACCTCACATACTAAATCTGACCTGCAGGGAAAGTGTGTCAGAGGAAAGTATTTTTCATCTAATAGCAACTAAGAGTTTGGAAATTAAAGATTTTGGAAAGATTTACACGGGAGAGAAAGTTTTTTCAAATCTCCATCTGTGCAAAAAAAGAAGAAAATAATAGTGTTCCAATAAATTGATCTATTCTTAAACTTAAATAGATTTAACAGTGCTTGTAAGTGGAATTTTAAGGTCTGTTTATCATTTTTGCCTCAGTGAGTTTTGGTGAATTGGTAAAACTACAAATTCGAAATCTTATAAAGAGTGCTTGTAGGGAAATTGTGTGCCTGCAAGTTTATAAGTATATCCTGCTTGTTTGTGGCTCTTTTTTCTCATTTTCCCTTATCTGCATCTGTAGCTTCAGCTGGATTACTCCCACCCTGTCGTTTTAAGGAATGACTGATTGAAAAAACAGATATCGCCTTCAGAAATGAGTGCAGACTGCAGTAAACAGTTTTTCAGAGATAAATTATTACGGCTGTTTCTGTTTGTTTCCAAAAATGATATTTATGTAAAATTTTGATGTGGTGTTCAAAGATGACCACCTTTCCTCTCGGTGAGTGGTAGATTGAAGTAAATTGAAAAAAACAGTTTATAAACTGGCTTTAGTGGAAATCTTAAAAATAATCACATTTTTTCTTTTTCTTAACACAGATTTTTAAAATGCACAACAATGTATCACTTTTTAACAAATGTATTATGTGCGTAAAACTCAAACAAACAATCCACCTTAACACAGGAAAATGTTTGTTGTTCGGGACTTGCCAGCAAAAGCCCCTCCCTCCCACACACCCCCGTGAGACTCAGCGGTGGGTGCTGGAACGGGGCATGTTCGGGTTTGCCTGTGCAAGTTCAAAAACATATCCTGCTTTAACTTTGTTTTTCATTCATTTTCCCCTTTGTGCCTTCATCCCTACTGCCAGTTTGCTCCCACGCTGTCTTATCCAGTGGCAAACAACATTCCTCTGTTCTACCCCCAGCTGCCCCGGGCCCTGCACATCATTAACCCTCCACACACACAGCTCTAGTTTCTTATTGTGTTGATGTCTCTGAATATTTCACTTTTAAATTTTCTGAATGTATTCCCAAACTGCACACTCACCGTTTTTAAGAATAGTGTAAATTTGGTTTCAGTTGAATATCAAAGCACAAATCTTTGTTGAAATTGCTGTACTTTTGAAAGTAAAATATGAAGAAAAAACGGCTTTGAACTGAAAGTCAAATAATTAACTTAAAAGTAATGTCAACAAATGGATGACCAAAAAAGTGTGTGTCACTGTGCAGATATGCTAACATAGTATGAATTTAGTTACTTTTGGTGGTGAAGATTTGACTGCAGCTGTGATTTTTTGTTTGTTGTAGAGAGAAGTTCAGCTGGTACTCCCATGTCTCTTTGGAACTATAAGGTGATACCATTTTGATTCAGAGAAACATGCTAGTTTTTTTTTTTTACATCTTTATCTTTATGTTATAGTCTGGCGAAAAAAAGAACAGATGAAAGGAGCAAAAGGCAGAGGGACGGGAAGGTTATTGCATGCCACTCAACAAACCCAGCCGGGAATCAAAGGTTATGTGAGTCTGGCAGCTTTTAACCCACTGCCTTTCCCTGACTCATCTGGACATATGATTGTCTGTTCAAGGAGTGATATCACATCCAAAAAAAAGAAACAAAATGCCTGGAGTTATTTTTGCTCAAGACAGCTGATTGCAGAATTTTTCTCTGTATTACATCATTGTTTTTCTCAACTCTCTCTGTTTCACTTCCTATCGAAAAAGCTACGATCACAATCTCATTCTCTTTTTTTTTATTAGCATAAAAGTATAAAACTGACACAAAACAACTTGTTTGCAATGCCTCACATTTAGCTACATCTCAAAGACAGAGAAAGATGAATATACCTAATGCTTGAAGTGGACTCAGCTGATTATCAAGCTGGGCAAAGTATATTACAATACGACACAGCTTTGCCAATTGCTTTTATTCTTTTTGTTTTTAAAGAATCATACTCATCTCAGCCCTGAAGTTTGTATCACTATCAGTTTGGTCTCATCGCTTTCAGAAGGACAAAGACTTTCATAAATTAGAATACAGTTGGATCATTAAAGTGATCCCCCATGTCTTTAGGTTATCATATAAATTATCATACAATTACTTTATCATGTTTTTACTTTGCTTACTTGAACAAAGCCAACAGTACAGACAAGGCTGACAACAAAGAATTCAAGTCCTAAAGAGCAAAGGTGTTTACACATGGGCAGTGATTAAATCAGAGTGATGGCATAGCAAAAAACGTTGACCTGACTTCCAGCCATGAACTTAAGCCCAGACATTCGCTTTTGTTTGGTGGTGGGTGACATTTTGGTTTTCCCCTAAAATTACAACTTGAAGATACAGGGCAGAGGTGAAGTATTCCATGTGTGTAGAAGACGTCCGTTGTTGGAGTTTTTGGGATCAGTCTGAAAAACAGTGTGATTCCTGGTCAAATTACTTTAGCTCGTGAAAACCTTCAGAACAGGGGATTGAATTGCACTCTCATTTACTTCTTTTGTTCAGTGTCCTCACATACTTATCAGCCATTTTCTTTTTAAATCCCTTTTTTGTGTAGTGGGCTCACCTCAACCAAACTGCCCGCAAGCTTGAACGTGCCCGTCTTGTGCTGACGTATCTGCTTTTCAGACGGATATTTGAAGCTTTGTCCAACAGCAGCACACAGATTTTCTGGCATAAGGAAGCACTCTAAACACCAAAAACAATGTGGAAATCACACATGGAACATTACAAGTGACTGTCATGCAAATGTCCCATGTGTTTGACTGTGGTGTCAACAGCAAATGGTGGCATACCATTTCAATTGAAATGCCTATGTGAAAGGCTGTTCTACATCCTGCAGCCATAGGTTTTGCATTCGGATGAGATTAGATAGTGACCTGCTAAGACATGGTCAATTCACACAAATTGTAATGAGCAGTGGGGGTAGAGCGACAATTAAATGGGTCTCCTGAGTAAAACAACAAAGACAGAAAAGGGCCATAGTAGATTAATGTAAATGCAAACTGCAAACATATCAAGAAAGGGAAATTAGATTTTATTTAAAAAGTCTTTAATTTGGTGTATATTATTTTTGTTGAACATATTGAGCTTGTCTTGTTTTTAGTTAGCAGTCTGTATCTGGTATAAGTATAAAAGTATAAATGATGTCGTTTTGCAGCTGTATCTATATTATATTAAAAAGATCAATAATTCACGTTGTTTTCATTTGACAGCTGATGCACGACCACCCAGATAATAATACATGCTCAGAGTGCCTACTATAGTTGAGCTAAGAGATTAAACTGTTATTTGCTTCATGATAATGATCGAAACAGCGTGTTTATGACATGCACGGATGCAATCAGTGTCTCTTTATGTAGGTTTGGTCTTCAGTTGCCATTTGGAGTTTAAAAAATTTAAATATAGCTGATGGACGTTTCCCATCTTATTCTAAAGTGATTGTTTCAGCCTTTATTTCACGGATTCTCTCGGTAAATAACCCCATTTGTTGAAAGCTCGTCCGCTGACTGCGACATGATGAAGAAACTTCGCCATCACACTTTCACCTTGTTATTAGTCGTGCCTTTCCCAGGGAGAACTTCGGACGCAGCGTTGCTATCAGGTGATTCAGCGCGGACAAATCATCATCTTCATCATCATCATCACGTGAACGCGCCAGAGCGCGCACCCGCGCCCACCCCCCAGCACGCGGAGCAGCGGCAGCAGCCTCCAGGGACTATAAAAGCCCTCAGATACCGTCCCAGGAGCGCGGAGGAAGCTCGACCTCACAGGTGGGTGACATGGCACGGGGCAGCTCCAAAATCTTTACCAAATTTTACAAACGTAATCTCTGTCAATTAGTTAGTAGAACTTTTGAATAGTCTCTGTGTAGGATTTTGTAAACAGCTTTATTGAGGGGCACATTGTGAAAGAAAAGCTTCTGCATCATCTGTCTGATTTTGAGTTGCATTTGTCTGAGCTTTTCTGGTGTCTTCAACAGCGGTACCTGTCTGTCCAACAACCATGAAGGCTGTAGCTCTGATCCTTGCTCTGGCTGTCATCACAGGTTAGTGTTTTGTTGATTTGACTTTGATCAACATCTTGCTCATGGTTTGAGTTGTTGGATTCATCCATATGCATGTGTCTCGTCGCAGGCTGTAATGCCCGTGCAGTGCGCCAGGCTGACACCTCCCTGGCCCGGTTGCAAGGCAGCGTGGATCGGTTCTGGCAGTACATCTCTGAGCTGAACCACAAAGCCGATGGAGTGGTGGAGACCATCAAGGCCTCTCAGCTTAGCAGAGAGCTTGAGTAAGTTTCATTCACCTGCCATCATTTTGAGTAGAAATTCAACACTTTCCTCAGCATTTTTATTTTAAATCTGTGTGTGATTATCTGGCTATTCTCTCTCTAGTACTCTGATCAGTGACACCATGGCGGAAATGGCCGTATACAAACAGGATATCCACACCAAGCTGGCCCCTTTCGCCGCCACCTCCACCGACCAGCTGGCTGAGGATCTGCAACTTCTGGCCAACAAACTGCAGAAGGACATGACCGATGCCAAGGAGCGCAGCACCGAGTACCTGGGCGAGCTGAAGGCCATGGTGGAGCAAAACTCCGACGATGTCCGTAACCGCGTCAACACCTACACCAACAAACTGAGGAAGCGCCTCACCAAGGACACCGAGGAGATCCGCGAGTAAGTCCCATCACGGCTGTCCGATCCGAAGTTTTGCTTTTTAGTTGTTTATGTGAAATTTGAAATTTCTTTGTCCTCTTCAAATTCCAGCACTGTGACCACCTACATGGGGGAGCTCCATTCCCGCACCTCCCAGAACCTGGGTGCTGTAAAAGAGCAGGTCCACCCCTTCGTCCAGCAAGCCAGCGGCACCGCAACCCAGAAGCTGAGTGACATCTCATCACTCATACAGACCCAGGCTGAGTCCATCAAGACCTATCTGGAGTCCCAAATGAGCGTCATGCGCACCTCTGTGGACGAGGAGCTGGAGAAGTTAACAGATCTGTTGGGCCCGGTCGCCACCCAGATCCGCGAGCAGTTGGAGGCGGCTGCCGCTGCCTAAGGAAAGAGTTTTTCTTAGGGGTTGTAGAAGGTTGATGGTAGGGCAAGGATGGATAAAGATGAGAAACAGAGAGTTACTGATATACATTGTGTGCCTCCAGTGTTCAGGATTAACGGGGTGACTGCAGGGAAGAAGCTGCATATTTTACAGAGAGATCAGCCAACAGGAGGATTTTTCTGCATAGGTGCACCATCTTTTTCCCTGTTCTCACTTTGATCAGTGAACACTAGCACCGCAGTCAATAACGTTCTATATTACACAAGCAAGAGGCAGATATGTTGTACTATGCTTCACTGTTCTACTTTGACATGCTTTTCCAGTTTTCTACAGTTCGCCGCTGGGTTTTATTTTCTTGTGGGGCTACACGCCCCTCTCATTGCATCAAAAACGATTGTCTTTTGGTTCAATAAATGCACTGACTGATGTTTGTCAAGTTGTAGGTTTACGTGCAGATTCATCTACTTGTTTGTAAAACCAAACCTCTGACAAACCCTCCTGTATTTTCATGTCAGTTTGTGTTGTTTCACTCATATGGAATAAAAACTGACTTGGTACATGTATGACTATCAGTGAGTTCTCCATCACATTACTACACCTTCCACATTTTTAATAGCCACTGTGCTGGTCCAGAAGTGTGTGTCTTGTCCACTTTTTGTTTGCCTCATAAAACATTAAAGAACAATCTATTATTTATGATAGCCTCACAGAGTTGTCACTAAGCCATTGCTTGAAGGATTCAAGTTCTGGCGGTCAAATGGAGGCCTACACATTCAATATACACCTATATTCCAACTGGAAATCCTGCTCTCCTCCCATAAAGCAACGCTACCATGATTAATTAGCTGATCTGGAAATAAATTGGCCGTCCACATGCATTAGAAAAGGACAAGAAGCTTCTGTCTGTACATGCCCAGTTGCATGACTGAAAGCTGATATCTTCCTGAGTTCCACCCCTCTCCCAGGGCTAACACAGGAAGTATCGAGTCCACCACCCTGCAGTGCAAATCTAAAGGATCACAGTGGATCCAGCCAAATTGAACGATTACGACACAAAGTTGTCCCTTTGACTCTCTGTGTACCTGTTTTCCGTCCAAACAGTCTTTACTCACTCCCATTGTATAAGCACCCCCACATCCCTCAACTTTCTGCTCTTCTTGCCCTGACTTGTTAAGATCTAGTTCTAGATTCCATTTCTTAATACCAACAGGATTATGGGAACATTCCGTGCCATGGGTCGAGCTCTTAAAAATGACACTGTACCAGCTCAGCCTTTATCTTGATTTGGATAATACTGTTATCCATGCATTTGTTCTCTGTATGCACGTTTTAGCATGTACAGGTTTGTAGATAGCAGCAACATGCACATTGTGTTTAGAGTTTTTATTTTTTGGGGAATTAGAAAGACTTTTTCGAACCCTTGCATGTGTGAAAAAGGGAGACACTGTGCTATCAACTGTCCAATTATCTTTATCGTCTAATACCAAATAGTGTTACCACATGCAGGGTATTTTGACTAACAGTGAGATTTAAATATGCTGTGTTAAAAAATTCTGACCAAGCATAAAGATTTTTGGTGTAAAGTTCAGAGCAAAGGCCAGCAGAGGACACCATTTGTCCCCTGTTCATGGTCATTCCTCTGGCCCTTGCACTTTAATCTGGGACACAAAGCAGCAGCTGTGTTTTCTTTATTGGAAGATTTGCCTGATAAAGAATCAAAGATAACATAAACTGAGCTTTGGGGACAGAGGATACATTTTATGGGTGAAGAATCAATTTGGATATATATGCAGCAGACTGATAACTGGAGTTTAAGATTTTTTTATATGATGTGACTGACTGTTATTTATATGAAGACACCAACGTTATCAGGATGCTGTTTTCAAAAACCTTAATAGCTCAAAATCAGGTTTTCTTATATACTAAACGACTATGTGTTATTAAGTGAAAGATATTCAAGCAGTTCTCTGCAAAACAACCTAATTTGATTCAGACAAAAACTTGTTTTGATTCTATCTGTGTGAAAGGGCACTGGGTTTAAAGTGAAACAGTGACTAACACTGTAACCAGCGGTTTATTCTGCATGAATTCCCCCCTTTCAGGAATCGGTGTTTATGATCAAGTGCAACTCCTTTAGGTAACAGCTGTGTACAAGGATTACTCACAAAATGTCCAAACAGGAAAACCACAAGCATCCTGCCATTTCAGCACTTTTGCTGTGTCTCTTCATACAGTGTCTGCAAGCTGAGTACTTCCCAGCAACAACAACCAAAATAAAAATCCAAAGAAATATCCAGAGAACTAACAGTTGTTTGCTAGCCCACGACTGCTAGTAACCTCTCCAAAAACTCCCCTGCAGAGATTTTACCTCTTTTTTCAACCCACATCCTTTCCATCCTCCTTGGAGCTGGCACACAACATCAATCACCGCAGGGGCCTTGGCTCAACACAAAAAGCTGCTTTTTGTTAAGCTTGTTATTGCAAATTGTGAGCACATCAGACACGCACTTTCACACTCTCTGCCTCCTGCAATTATTCAAGAGGAGCTTGTATGCACGCAAGCTACGGCTCATACATAAGCCCACCAGCCACTTCATTACAAAAGAGAAGGAAGTTTAGTCCCTCAGGGCTATGAATGTCGAGAGATGTGAAGGCTCTTTGAGCTTAATTAGGCTGTTCAACATAGCAATAGCACCTCGTCTTGAATCGAGTCGTCAACACCAAATGGACCTTTGGCCTTTTTCAGCAGTCATCTTGGTGTGAACATAGATATGTTAAGTGTCAATGATGTTTTCCAGTAATCTGATGCAGACTTGCTGACTTCCAACTCATGCTGAGGGGTTACTGCAGTACACCCAACTGCACTGTTCTTCTGTTGCAAGTCTGCAACCAGGATGGACCACGTATGGTTTTCACTCGTTCACTTCCCCTTTAAAGAAAGGGAAGGTCTGCGCTGGACTGGCATTGAGTGTTGCAATGAGATCCGAAATAGGGCTGTAAATGGAAAAACACCAAAACAGAAAAGCAGCTTGTCCTTGGTTGAACAAGACGCCACTGACGCATGGCTCCAAAACAAAAGCCAGTATCAGCAAATAGTTACATTTCTGTTGTTAACATGCTCTTTTCAAAAGATATCATTAAAACCAGACAGGAAACCTAGTGCAGGCCTTTTTGTGTTTTCATTTAGGCCAGTCGATTTACCAAAGGGCCTATAACCATAGTGAGGCAACAAAAGACAGAAAGGAGAGGAGCACTACCTTTTTTATCACAGTTCCAGTTGAAGAAATAGAGACAACTGGAGTCACAGCTCCTGATACAGTGTCTTTCAAATGGTCATCTTGACCTAACACAGATACGCTGTCTCAAGATTCTTATTTAATTAATATCTCAGGTTTTGAGGGATACTTTTTACAAAGTAATGTCTCTCCAAATAGTGTGTACATAATACATGTTTGAAATATCCACACAACTGAATGTGCACATATGTTTATCAATTAAAACTCTAAGACATATATGTATAATTGATAATAAAAAGATCTATCTATACATTGTTCTCAATGTGTTCAATGAGACCATTTTTTTTTTTACTTTGTGATATACATGTTCAGTGATACTGTCCAAATGACTGACTAAGTGAATCCCTGGCCAAACCTTTAGCTCCAAAGGAGTTTCCCAATATTTTAAGTCCATGATTCTATCAGCTGTGAACCTTGTTTCTCCACATCACATCTATTTTTCTTCCTTGTTACTTTACAGAGTAATCAGAGCTCAATTGTAATGAACTGTTCTCTTTCTTTTTCAAATGCCAACTACTGTATGTAAATAAGATACAACACACGGTGATGGGTGCACTGGTTACATTTAAATCTATACTATTGGATGCCTCTGCTGGATCCTTCCAGAGGCAAACAAATATCTTTCTTTGGGTTACATTTAATGTAACTCGATAGGAACTAATCAATAAAGGGGGCAGTGACACCTCAAGGACATCGCGTGTTCTCGTTGACCAAGTCCTGCGTTTGCGTCACCCTTCCAAAATTAGGGCTGGCTTATAAAAATGAGGCGCACACATTAACTCCCACAGACGCCCGATTTTTTTTTTACTCAGCGCCGGAAAACAGGTACGTTTTACATTCTATCACTTCAAGAACAACCGTTTTCTTTCCACGTTGTTGCTTTCCTGGTGAAAAGTAAAAAAAAGTTTGCACCGCACATATCGCATTTTTTATTGAAAGCGTGTCGCTTATTTGTCATTCTAGAAACGAGAGAGCAGGGTCAGAGCAGCAAACATTGTAACAGCTCTTACTCTTAGACATGTGAAAAGGAATGATATGTAAGCCTTAATGGTCAGTTAATATGGGAAGAACTGGGGTTAAACAGGAGCTGTTCACCTGGCCTGGTGCTGACATGGAGAGTCTCGGATTTTGAAACGATGAGGAATGAAACACTTTTGCGTTTTTTGTTGCATATCATGTCTGTCTAAGAGCAGGAATAATTTGTCACCTTTCTCTTCCTCAGTGATTTACAGACAAGATGAGGCTGTACCTTGCAGTTGCCATGCTGCTGCTGGCATTAGTAGCATACACAGGTAAGTCTATCAATGGCACGTTCAAAAACTTTCCAGCTGGGGTTTTCATGTAACTTTTGGCCTGAATTCTTTGTTACCCTGACCAACAGAGGCTCAAGAGGAAACCGTGGAAGATAAGTTGACCAAGTTTGGCCAGCAGCTTGGTGAGATGGGGAAGAACCTGGCTGAGCAGGTCAAGACTTCCTTCCAGGACATTAACACCAGCGAGTTTGCAGAGAAGACCAGGTAGAACACGAGCAAATGAACACAACCTGGCCATCTAAGACATGGTGTGGGTCTTTAACTCAAGATGTTTTTTTGTTTTTTCCCTTTGCAGGAACTGGTTCGCAGAGAGACTTGAGCAGATCAAATCCCTTGGTGATAAGTCTTAAACTGACTGGCTTTTGTGCCTGACATGCTCATGGCTTCCCTCTACATCAGCGTCTGCTGCGGACCTGTGACCACATCATTTTCTGCACAATGGCCATGCTCAGCAGTTACATTGTCTCTTTGTGAAGAGTTATTTTGACTGTGAATTCTGTAAAAATGTGAAAAAGGTGCAATAAAATTGCATTTAATGAAAAATCTCTGTGAACGTACGTTTTTCTTAATGTAAAACTGATGCATCTTGAGGTGTTTGTTTTAGGGACATGAGATAAATGAATGAAAATATACACAACCCTGATAGCTGCCCTCTTGCCTTTGTCATGATGCTGATAAGTCACTTGACTCTTTCCTCTGCACAGATAACTAAACTGAATAGAACTGTCAAGATAATCACATTATTTTCTGATCTGATATATCTAAAACAAACCAAAAAGCCTTGTAGCGATTGCTAAAATCATGCAAATGTTTATACTGGGGAAAATATGGTCTCAAACCTTATTTACTCTTACTTCTAATTACATCTGTGTGCCAGCATTTCCAAAGATAGCAATGAGCTGGAGTAGCCAGACTGCACAGGACTGAGCAGGTCACATTCCACTCCAGGTCAAAATGAGTAAAGCAATCACAATACAATCAAACCTATCAAAAGATGTTTCTGGAATGAATTCATCTTTAAAAAAACTCACCGTGCTAAAAATATAAACTATCATAAAGATAGTAATTCTTAAAAGTGTACCGCTCATAGTTGTATCAGGTTTATCAGGTTTATACCTAATGCGGGGTAAATCACTTTAATAAGATTAAAACAAGTGTTTGCCCTTTTAAGAGAAAAAATAAAAAGTGCACTGGATTTAAATTATTGTTGAAGTAAGTGCAGGCAGGATTTGATAGTGAGCAATTATAGCATGAAACTTCCAGATGTGCTTGAAATCTAACCAGTCCTGCAAATTATTGTGGAAGGTCTGAATATATACTTTGCCAAATCAATCATTTATAACAGGGTGAACTTTGGAATGAATTAACAAAAATGTTTGGCCACTTTTATCAAACTAGCGAGCAACATCTAATAGAAAATTATAATTTAAATATAATTTTGTGTCAATCACAGGTATCAAAGGGCAAGTGCCAACATGGCTGCTTTTGGTCTTTCACAACCACTGGGATAAAGTCACTGTTTATGATGTGTTAATGATTCACCAGACCTTCCAGTTCAATGAAATATGTTCCAGTGAAGAGTACAGAGTGACAGAGGTTAGCAACGAGTGCATAAAGGTCACAGATTTCGTTGAATTGACTGTCTGGACTTAGAATACTAAGAGATCACTTTCAGTTTGTGGTGAAGATTTCATTTTACCACTTCCCCATACTCAGCAGTACTGGCATGCCAAATAAGTAAATCAAGACCAAGACGAATGACACATTTGAGAACAAGTTTGGGAATTCACCATGCAGATAAAAGCCGTGCTCAATTTAGGTTGTTCAACCTAATCAGATGATGTGTTTATTTCCACAAGGAACAAAGACAGGGAAAAGTTCCTAAAACTTTGACAAGATCCAATTGATTTTGTGGTGGACTCTGCCCACCAAAATGCTTCGCTAAACTAAAAAAGTTTATCTATTTGAACCCGGTCTTTAGCAAAACCTGTATCTCTACTTTGAGACTTTGACTGATCTGTACACATTTCAGCACCCACGGATGGGTCAAGATATCTAAACCAAAGGGCGCCTGGACAGTTGTTGAACCCAGCTAATGTTGACAATAAAAACATATCAATAGTTCAGGCTCGGATGCAAGAGGAAACATCATTGTAAATGTACCTGCATGTATACTGTTACAGATCCAAACCCACACATCTGTGTTGTGGATATTTAATGAAGATGCATGTCTTAAATCTAAATCAAAGCCAACAACATGGGTAGCATTGTAAGTGAAAAATGTTCGATTTGTACTTTGCACAAAGAGATTAATGATCATCCCATGAGAGAACACACTGTTGCAGCCACCAAATACAAATAAAAATGTCCTGATAAGTCTGGACTCATTTAACTTCTGTTGACCAGAGCCAGAGGAAATGGTAAAAATAAAGGGAAAACCATGGCATTTCTTTTTTAATATATCAATGTCATTAGGCGTAACTTTAAATAATGTGTCTTTAGTGTTGTTCATTCAGTATATATGTTAACAAAAAATGCTGTGAATGAGCTAGATGGTTGCTTTTAATATATATTTGATACTGTGACATTAACAAACCCTGCTGACATATGTGTTGCTGTCTTTTCATCAGGCCCAAATCAGAACTCTTGTGTTTTCTCTCCTGTTATTGATTCAAGGTATAGCTTTAAATAGAATTATTCTGCCACTCTGGCCTCTTGATTTCGAAGCTTGGATGCAGACTTGACTGAAAAAAGACCCTCTCTGCAGCATGTCCTCCAGCTTTGGCACAGACAGAAGCTCCAGAACAACCCGACTCGCCAGGAATATTGCAGAGGCTGACAGAAAGGGCCAGGTATTTGAAAGCAGCACACTTGTGAATTCGTTCTGGATGTTTAGATGTTTGCACCACTGTGTGTTATTTCGTGTCTGTATTTGAGTAACATTTTATGTATTCATCTCTGCACTCAGGCAAGCTAAAGCTAAAATCCAGTCCATTGGAGACACAGCGCTCGGATTTGCTGGTGCTTACTACGAAGACCACATCCAACCAGTGGCCAGCAGCTATGTTGAGTGGGCTTCTAATGTTAGAATGTCCCTGCGGGAGAGAATGCAGAAAACCATTGACAACTACAGACCATTTGACAAATAGTCCAGCTAACCAAGTCCCTTAGAATTGAAAATAAACTTGCATTGAAAAATCTTACGGTTCTTGCCTCTTATTGCTGAGCTCATCATTCATCCACATTTGTCAGTAGGGGCTGCTCATCATGAAGAGCAAATCATTAACATGAGGATTTTTGTTAAACATCACTCTTTCATCAGAACAACAAATGGACATTAATACATAAAGTACTGATGCATTTTTAAGTGTTGCTCTTGGTGGGATTCTTATCAGTTAAAATGGACAAAGAAACACAGAAAGAGAAAAGAAAATTGTAAGAAAATTAGTATTTATAATCTTCCAGTTTGTCAAAAGTGAAGCTTTGGGACTTGCACAACTGGTCTAGACGGCATGGGGGGGACTGACCATTTGACTCTAATCTTTGAACTGTTAAATAAATGCTGATTGAGTCTTTCTAATCAGATTATCTTTGACCAAAGTAAGTAAAAACGCATAAGATGATGCAAAGTGCATTTTTTAGGCCACACATTGTGTGTAATGGTATCATACATGCATGTTTTTTGATAATACAACTTTTGCACTATCAGGAGAACTCAGAGTGCACTGTATGAATGCAGATATCTTACATTTCAGGAACATTGCACAACCTCATATTTCCACATCTGCACATATGGCGATGTATACTGAACTTTGTGAAGGTGAAAGAGAGTGTGAGCACATGCAAGCATGTGTGTGTGGATGTGTGTATGGTCATCAGATGACGTTTGTTTGCAGTCCTCCCCTATATCATCTTGTCCAGATGTGGGCTCCGTGTTACAGACAACTCGCTTCCAGAGAAGACTGTCACTTCTTGGATCAGTACTTCCACCAGAGCAGCAGGTACTTATTAGTTTTACAGAAGCAGCTTCTGTCTAAAGCTACTTAGGATTTTTTATTTCACGGCATTTTCAGATTGAAATCTTATTTTTCCTTTCACTGTCAACATCTGTTTGTTTTCTGTTGTTTCAGACATGAACCCAAAATTAATTCTTGCACTGGTCCTCGTTCTGCAGGGTAAGGCAATATTTCAGCGCTTTCTGAGCACCGTGCATGCCGTTTGTAGCATGAGAACAATTTGACATGACCGAACCTAGTTTAAGTAGTTCTCATTTTTCAGAATTGGTCAACTAAAAAAAACTACCTATTTTTAAATTGTTTAATTAATATTGGAGGATGGTTGCCTTTAAAAATGCATTTACAGTAGTTGAAATACAAGATCACCGTTTAGATTTAAACAACTCCTAACTGTAGGGGTTGCTTAACTCTTACCAAGACTGAACAGTGTCATTCTTTGGTTCCAAAAGATATAAATTTAAGCTGTTGTTTTTTTTTAACATCAAAGTGGAATGAAATTGTTCTGAAATAACATTTCTTCTTCTCATTTTGTCCCAGTGTCCACAAGCCTGTGTGATGTTCCTCCACCATCCCAGGAACTTGTTGACAAATATGAGGCAATGAAATCTGTGTTCTACAAGAGACTGCTGAATGCTTACAGCAAACTGCAGGCCACTGTTGGAGCCACTGAGAACGGACAGGGCGCCAGGGAGTTTTTGGAAGCTATGCAAGGCAAGCCTGAGCTGCAAGCCCTAGTCAAGGTTGCCAGGTGAGTGGTAATGGAGAGCTACTCCCTAAATGTCCCTCTCCCCTTTTCCAGCAGAGGCGTGCTCTCATTAACCAACATTCTGCTTTGAGACATCAGAAATATCTCATTTAAGCATACGTTTTAAAATTGAGTGAAGCACTTATTTAAATTTGTGTAAAGCTTTAAATAATCAGTCCTCCCTCTTTTTGTTTTTCAGCGGTGTGGGCTCAGAAGCAGCCCCCTTAGTGGAAAAGGCCCGTATGACACTCCTGGGTGTGTATGAACAGTACCTGCGTCCCCACGTCGGCGACAGCCTGGGAAGCGCCATTGACCAGATCAAGGTGGTCCTGGATCAAGTCATGCCCGCTGAGTAAAGACGACCAACTGGAGCGAACCGCCTGTCAGGAGCCTGTAATAGATGATAACTCAGAATTTCACCGGTTTAGGCTGAGGAGACAAACGCAACATGCAGATTCTTTGCCTCTTTTTAAATCAAATGTATTTGCCTAATCATGCAGAGTTACAAGAATGTCAGTCATGTCAACACTATCTGTGTAAGTTCTGCATGTACAGTACGATGTGTATGATATACTAACAGAAGCATGTGTGTGTGACAGTGTATGGAAGTGTGCATGGGTTCAATAAAATGAAGTAAAAGTGACTGGAAATGGGTTTCTTTATTACAACAATGAAGGTTTAGTTCTTTTAAGGAAAACAGCTATTTATGTAAAAGGCTATTAAACAAAGTTAACTTGTAAAAATGCAGTCATGTCAAACTTCCATCAATCAGAACTGCACTTAACTTTTTTGCAGTTAACTGAACGTATGTTGTGCAACACCATATGTAGCGTTTGTCACTTTTCCTCATCTCAAGCATCTCAGATAAAGACAAAAACACTCTCTCTCAATAACACACATGGGAAAAAAATACCAACTGAACACAAAGTATAGTGTCATTGCTGCAGTCCACACAGATTAATCTTTTGTCCAGCTCAGTGACAACCACACAGAGCCAAGTCCTCTCATCTGTTGGACATCAAAACCACAAGCTCTCTCACAGTTTGAACCTGCAGCTGGACTCAAACTGACCCGAGTTCTGAGGTCACAATCAACTTGACATGTGATGCTGGATCACATTACAGACGGGGAAAAAAAGACCTCCACATATCAGACTAAAAATGTGTCCTCCGGTCTTTATGTCAGTCATATTGAATTTCTTTTTCTCCAAAATTAGTATTCATAGTTTGTTGGTTCCAAACAGCTTTGGATTATATACATTTCTTATATAGTTGGGTATCAACTACTATCATTTTGTAATAGAAAAAAGTGTATTTTCTCATAATTGTTAATTCATTCATACCAGATAAAGTAAATGGTCTTCGATGAGTGTATTTCTTTGTACTGAATAGCCTACAGTGCTGTTTACTCTTTGGATTCCTCCACTCATAAGTGCTGCAATACCCTTGTTGGTATTAAGAAATGTCAGTATTGACGTGAATATGTTCTTAAGCTTGAGCATGATGATGCACACAATAAAATATGTTCAGATAACTGTATCTAAATACTTCACAAACTATTATGAAGTCTTGTGTTCCTTGGACTGAGATTTTTTCAGTGAGTTTTGCTCCTCATGTGCAAAGGTTGCAAGCAAAAAAAATCAGTACTTATTAACCAAATCCAAAATATTTACCCGCAATGTATAAACACAGTCTCAAGGCCGGACAGGCAAATCTAAGTTGTGATGTCTAAACTCTGATGTGCAAGCTATCACATAAAACTGATGAAATTGATGATAAATGTTTGCAAAACCAGTAATCAAATTTAACAACAAATACAAACTCAAACATCTAGCACACAGATTTGTTTTACTTCTTTGCATCTGAATCAAGCATTGAGTCGTTTTTAAACTTTGTCTTTATTCCCCCCCAAAAAAGTTGGAGAAAAAAATGGAGCCTTGTGATATAGGGCAACAGGGCAAACGTTTCATAACCTGACTCAGCATGGATGACGTGTTCCCCACAGTCTGGACTTGGGACCGTCTTGAGAGGACTTAGCACCATTGTCGAGTGGCAGCAACACATCAACCTTGTTATGCAATGCGAGTGACAAGTCCTCCTAATGGAGGTGTGCTGCATGAGGAAAAACCCATGAGCTAATCAATAGGTGGTAACTGATTGTGGAAAGTTTAAAAGAGGGGTCACAGAGACAGTCCCGGGATACATTTCTTGCATGACGCCCACCTTCCACCCATGTATTTGTGGACAGGAAATTGATAACTGTCTTTCGCAGATATGGAAAAGTCCTCTCTTTATGCGGTAACAATGTCTCCTTTATCAAGACTCAGTGACATACTTCTTCCACGAACACACTTCAAACAGCAGTGCAGGTTTATCTCCCACAAAGTGCACTTTGGCTCTGAGAGCGACAAGTCAACACATTTACACTCCTATATAAACAGCTGTGGCCAGCGGTGCCTCTTACTCTGTTTTCCTTTCGCAGACATTTCTCAGGAGGAATACAGTGAGTATGGAGACTTTAGGCTCATCTAATGGATCAATGAGGGGGCAGCTGTGTTAAAGAATTCATGTTTGTTGCATTTTGGGTGCCATGCGTCATTTTGGCTGGAAAAAAAGCTAAACAGAATAGAAAATGAAGAAACAATTTGTCTTCACAATATGGACTGTTAGTAGGATATGAATACCTCAGCTGTAACTGAGTAGGGAAACATATTGCAATGCTTCACCCTAGTGGAAAGAGAGAGTCAAGGCTAAAGGTTTATTGCTGTTTTCCGTTCACAGATCTGCAACCATGAATAAGCTGCTGGTCATCTCTGTGCTCATTGCACTTCTTGCTCTAAGTAAGTACATTCCCAAATTATCGAAACAATTCAATGGAATCCAAATGTCTTGTAGTTGAAGAAAACTATTGAAAATTAAGTAAACCTTATTAGCTTTGTGTGAATTTATACCTTAAATTAGATTGTGAGACAACATTTTTCCAAAATGGAACCACCATTTACACCAATAAAGTAACTCCATAAGAAGGAAGTTGTAAGTTAAAATGATCTGAAAATGGCCTTTGACCTTTCTGCAGACAGATGGTGTGTTCAACTATTGAAATAAGTAGCCCATCATTTCTGTAACCTTTATAACCTCGTAATCCTACAGAGAATAGTGCATTTGCTGTGTTTTACTCATGAAATCTGGCACTTTTTAATTCATGCAGGCGCTGAAAGCTTTCGTGTACCGAGGCAGGCTGAAGAGGAGGCTGGAACCCTGAGCAAGCTCACAGATGCGGTCAAGTCCTACTATGACGGCGCCGTCGACACTGTCAGCGGATACGTGGAGAGCATCAAGGGTCTGAAGCTGGAGGAGAAGGCAAAGTAAGAGACTGCGAATGCAAATACAGTTACAATGATGCCTTCCTGCTGAAAATAAAACCACATTCATTGCCAAAACTCACTTGATGCATGTTCTCTTTCCACAGGAATCTTTACACTGACACCACCACAGTGGTCAGCACCTATGCTGGCATTATGCAAGATCAGCTTTACCATATTTTATACAACCAGCAATAAATAAATGAAAGAGTGGAAACTCATTGTGAATGACCTCAGCATCCATTTCTGACAATGCAAGAATCCTCATGAAATGTCCACAAACCATCTGACATTTCGAACTCGTCCCACATTTCACGACATGGAGCCTGAAACAGCAACAACAGAAATAATGGACACGGTGCTCTTTGCGATGTTTTCATCTGCTAATCCAAAAAATCATTGTTAAAAAAAGAACTAAAGGCTTGCAGCTTGCCCAGAGGAGCTGGAAGGAAAAGTCTGGCACAAGGGCCACTGAGCATCTTCACACACACACCTCTAATGTCCCTATGGGCTTCAAGAGTTGGAAAACAATCAGATGTGCAAAATAACAATGACCATAATCTTGTAATCTGACTCCACCTAGTGGTGGTTCTGTCTCCCCCCAGTTGACGCTAATGGACATCCAACGTTGAAATTTGAATATTTGTGTCATATCTTGAAATAAAATATTTATACAAGCAGTGGTGCTTCTCTTGTATTCACTCCCCCTTATTGTAGTGCGCGTTTCAAGTTTGTGTCTTCTGTCACCGTAGAGATGAACACAAATATTAATTTGCAATGAGACAAGACAGTTGTGATCAGGGACTCTGTTTCAATTAAAATTGGATGAAAAGACAAAGAAAGTGTTTCGAACATGAGCATGGAGAAAACGGCAGACATGAATCAACAACAAAGACTTTGACACATGTTTTATAGATTCTGACAAAAGATCTCTCTGATTTTTAATTCATACATCTGCAAAATGGCCTTTGAGGCTGCAGCGCAACGCCAGTAGGGGACACGTTTCAGAATGAAAAAAATGCACTTTGTTCTTAGATGCAGTATTTTCTCTTAGAGGGCAACACATACAGAAATGTAATTCTGCATGATGAAAATTTCGGCTCAAAGTCGGTTTGTGTGTTAAAACTCTCAAACGATTTTGAGCAATTTGATGCTTGGATAAAAAAAATCAACCTGTGTTGATATTTAGGGTACTGCTGATATTACATGATGCAAGAAGTACATCAGGATCTTAATCATTTAATGGCCAGGTCAACCCTTCAATTTCCTCCTATAAAAGTTTAGGGGTTGGCTGAACAGATTGTCCTGATACCGGCCTTGCAGCAGTCAGAGTACCAGTCTGTAATGAGGAAACTAATACGATTCACTTCACCCGTAAGTGGTTTTAATGCGGTGGCTGATCATTCAACCCACTTGTGCTTGAGCCCAAGTGCTAATATTTGCACTTAACTCAGACAAGAAACAAAAAATGCATTTACTGGAAAATATTCAGGATTCAGAAGCCCATTCAGAATTGCCCAGTATTTCATGCCTTTTAAAAATGTTATCATGGTAACATATTAACTGTATAAAGCTTTTATATTATTACAACATCTTTGTTCATTTATGTAAGACGCAACTCTACAGTTATTAGTGGACTTTGAACAGACAAGTCACAAAAGTTGGATTTATTGGAGCCCAAAGTCTGTTATCTGGGTTTTTGCTGAACGTTCTACCATAAAAATTCAAACAGACCCAGAACAAAAGGCTATTTCTGTTATTTGTACTATGAAATTAACAAAAGGGTATGGGAAACAAGGTGTGTCTGACTCGAACAATCTGAACAATCTGTGAGCCGATGTGTTGACGTTTAATCTGATGAGATTATATAAGGTTATGGCTGAGTGGGAAATGATGCAGACGATCAGTTTATGTCCGGTTCCTCCCACTGTTCTCCAAGGATTTGCAGGTATAAAGTAGCTGTCTCATTAAAGCCCTTGTAGCACATAGTCTTGTAGCCGGAGTACCTCAAACTGAAGATGAATCTTCTCCTTCTGGCTTTTACTTTGGGGCTTGCAGGTAAATTCTGACCAAGTGTAAAACACAGGAAGTGGATACTAGAGTATTGTGAATATTATATGTCATAGTCTCTTCTTGATCTTGTTGATGGGTTTTAGGAGCATCTCCCCTTCCCGCAAACAAAGAGTGCAAACCTCATTCCAGACCGTGGCATGTCAGGCTGCATGGGGGAACACAATGCAGTGGAGCTCTCATCAACGAATGGTGGATTGTTACCTCCTTCGAATGTCAGCCATCGTAAGTATTACTGAATGATAGTTCCACCTAAAGACTGTTGCAGTTTTTTTTCATTAGAATTTTCATTAGAATTTTCATTTAGAATTATTTTTGGGAAGGGGGAGTTCCATAAAATTGAAGGCAGTTAAAATCAGATTTGGGCTTGATGAAAAAAAGGCCAAATGGCTCCAATTTTTAACTGGTGCCAAATACGTCAGGTCAGCTTTATTAAACCTTATTCGTCACCCCGCAGCCACGAAGAACAGCTTTTCTTCTGCCCTGTTTCCACCTGCGGCTTGAATACTTGATGACTTTAAGACTACTCTTTATCCTTTACAGACCCTACACGTCCATTGCAACTCTGGGAGAACATGACAAAACTGTGGAGGAAGGCACCGAGCAGCACATCCCAGTTGCCGACGTGATCCCTCACAGCCCCTACCGCTCACCCCTGCACAGCCTCACGATGGTGCGCCTGGCCCGCCCGGCTCGCTTCACCCAGTACGTGCAGCCCGTTCCCCTGCCCAGCCGCTGCCCGCAGCCCGGAGAGACGTGCTCCGTCAGTGGCTGGGGCTCCACCGTCGCAAATCACTGTGAGTGGGAATCCGATGCGGAACCATGGATTTAACACCTGATGAACTTCTAATCAGACACAGATCTGCATGTTTTTATGTGCACGTATTTAAATGAATGGAAGGAGAAATGAGCTGCAGCTGAATTACCAAGATCTGCCAGTTAGGTTGGGACTAGCTGGAATTCCTATCATTTCAAGCCATACCAACATTTTGGCAAGGATTATAAAAGCAAAGCTTGATTGCAGTTTTCTTTTTATTGTCATGCTCATTGTAAGCTACAGTGGTGGGACTGTTAACAATCCTCATCCATCCTCTGTCCTTTGCCTGTAATGGGAAAATGCTATTTAATTTTCCATCTTTGAAACACTTCCGGAGGAAGATGACAAAAAGTGACTACAAGGAACATGTAGTAATAATCTTTGTACAAGAGAAAGGACTTAAAACAGATTTAGACCAATAGAACTTGTGCTTTAATTATTTCACTATGACTCAGTATGATCTTGGACTCAATTGGAAGCTAAAATGTAAAAAAAAGGAAAAAAGGAAAAAAAAGGAAAGGAAAAAGATTCATTACTATTCTGGCCATTGCGGCACTAACAAGGCATGAACATTTTATTTTCATCATGACCTCCTTTAATCAGACTCTAATTGCCTGCCAAAATGCCCAGTCAGTGATCAAGACAAATTAAAAGAGGTAAACCTTGAAAACACTATTTACTCATCGTTTAGATCTCATGGTCCAGCGCGATAAGCAGTTGTGCATGAAAACCTTTGAGGAGTAGGAAATACTTTGTGTTGTAGATACCTTAAATCATTAACAATGACAATAGTTGCATGTTATATTACAATTGAATGCAATTTCTGACACAATAATTGATAATGACATCCTGCCTTTTTTTCCCGTATAAACAGATGAACCCTCACCGCACCTAAAGTGTATAACTGTGCCCATCGTGGATGATGAAACATGCATGAACACTTTCCCTGAATACGTGTTCTGGGGTCCAGGCATGGTCTGCGCTGGTCAAGCACACACAGATAACTGCCTGGTGAGAACAGACGTGGACTGGAAAAAAAAAAACCCCGCCCCTCTCTGTTCCTTTGTACATGAATTTGTTTGTCCAATTTTTCTCCAGAACGACAGAGGCGGCGTGATGGTGTGCGATGGCCAGCTGCAGGGTCTGACGTGGTTCAGACACGGCTGCAGGGATCCAGCTGACCCCACGGTTTACACCAAACTCTGCAAGTACAGTCATTGGATCAAGAGTGTGATGAACAACTTCAGCCCAGAAACTACACACCCTCCACTGATGACGACATGAAGCAGTAAATTGACGCATCTATCGATAGAAGACCCCATGATAGGAGCCGATCCTCACCACCTCAGTGATTGAAATGAAAGTTTAAAGGTCAGACTGTGTATAAGTAAATTAGATTACTGAATATTTCTAAAAGCTTGGCCAACTGATGTTCGCCATATAAAATTGTTTGAATGGAAACATGCAATTCCATATGTATTCATAGCATTTGAATCAGATAACGAATAAAGAAATTATGCTAATCTGGTTTGAATAGTTGTCATGTTTTTGTTCTCTCTGCAGTTGGTTAATGACGGTTGATATGTTTTGTTTCTTTTCACTGCACTGTAGCCGTGAAACATGTTTCATGTGCATATAAAACTAATGTCTGCAAAAGTTACGTTTTATAACAGATCTGATGAGTTTGTTAGGCATTATATGAAGGATTTTGCAGACTGTGGTGCACTCTTCATCTCAGTGGCGTATTTAATTATCTAATCATTTGCTTAAACAGCTAAAACTAAACACATTTTAACCAATTTCTGCCCCACAGCTGTGAATCGTCTGCAGTGGGTTTGGGTCTGACAGTACACCACCTGCAAAGCATCCCCTTTGGGTTTTGTCTGTCAGAATGTGACTCAGATTGCTAGTAGTATAGCCCTATTTCATTTGTTGTTAGCTGAGACAATACGATACTTGCTGGGCAGTTGTTTCTCAGATTTTCCAAACTAAACAAGTGTCCTCATTACATTCAGAACGTAGAGCAGATTATCTGATCAAGTAAATAATAATTTCCTGCTTCACTGTGTGCTGGCCAGATAAATGTGTCGGGTGGGCAGAATTTTGGCCACCACATCTTTGGAATTTTGGCGGATACACCCCACTAAACATGAAGACCAATTCATATAAGTCTAATTCTTATACATCCTAAATGTGTGTCGGTTTTTGAAACAAGTATTTTTGCTGATGAAGCTGATTTTATTATTCATGTAAATCCTAACCTAATTCAAACCTTTTTTTTCTTTCATTTCAATACTTTGAAAAGAAATCTGTCACATACAGTTATTCTGGTAATCAGGTATGTCTGGGAATATTGCCTATTACTCAGCAGATGCTGACAAAGATCCAGGACCAAATACTATGATTCACCACAAGAGGGTGGTGAAGCCTAGCAATTCAAATACGCGGGCCAAAGAGAAATCAGAGCGTTAGAGCCAAGGTGTGGACAGTCAACCCAAATTCCACATTCTTTACAATTTGTTTGAACACCAAGACCTTTTGAAAAGCATGCCGCAGCAATAAACACGTGGATGCAATCTAACACTGCTGAGAGACAAAGAAACTGGGGAACACATGGAGCCGTCAGAGGCACGCACATAGACATAAAATCAAATATACTCTTGCTCACACACTTACATGCAAAGTGACTGACAGCTGCGTCCATAATCACCCAAACAGAGGGGCCACTCTGCCATCTGTTCACAGCCTTTTTTCTCCCGCTCCTCACCCCTTCTTTTCCTGTTTTCTCACCTCAGTGGGAGACAGAAGGCAAACTGAGGGGTTGACTTTGGTAGCCGGGATGTCAATTTGGAAAGCAATGTGACATTAATTGGGGTATATCATAGGGAGGGAAGTTTACAGCTTCTATGTGTTGACTTTTTCTTATTTGAGTTGAACTCAGGTTAAACGCTGTTCAGAACTCTGTTGGATTAGAACCGGAGCCATTTCATAGCTGTCAGGAAGCTTTTTAAAGGAGCAACATGAAATTCTTCTGATTTCTTGGTCTGAATACTAGCAATACGTCTTTTGGGATTTCCCTTTATACACTGTTGGTCTTTTTGTTTGCTTAATCCCAAACGATTTACTTTGGGTCCTTTGGGTTTTTGGTACACCTCTCTCTCAAAGGGGTGTGGCTCACATATTTACTACATTGCTTCTGAGTTCTTACGCTTTATGGCATGTATGAACTGTTTGCTGTTTGAACTTGATCATTTTATGAACATCAGCTGTGTGCAGCGATGTTGGGATTAAAGATGCTGCTAGCAAATAATTTCATCTTCAGACTTTGCACACAGTATTTATGTCTCTGAATGACAAAGTCTCAGATCTGCTCTCACAGCGAGGTTAATTTGAACCTGCTTCTGATTAATTAATGGTTAACTCTTGATCCTTTGCCTTCCATTTACATTTCTTACACCTGACATGATATGGATTACAGCCTTTCTAAAGGTCCTCCCTACCTCCTCCTTTCCGTTTTGGCTTCCATAAGTCAGGCATGCTAGACTGGCCTACATTGAAAACAAATATCACCCTCAATTTCCCAAACACTGTGGTATAAACTGATTAATGAGGGAATTAAAATGAAAGATGATACTTTGGTGGAAATCTTTTTCCAGGGGTGTGACAGAGCTTATCAGTGGCGGGTACAAAATCTGCAGAATAAACGCAGGGCCTCACCCTCCCTTCCTCCATCTCCTTCCATCGCTTCGTTTCCCTGGCAAACTGTCACCATCACTCATTGCTGGCTTACATTCCCAGCATTCCCCTGTGGCACCTGGCTCATGAGAGGAGAAAAGTGGTGAGCACACACTCAAATGCACATTCACAAGCTGAGAGAAAGTGCACACACTTATACATTCACATTCCTCCATTATGTGCTTTTTTCCCCCTAAAAACTGACAAGTCTTTTTCACTGGGATGTAAATGAATATGGTAAGCCGACTTACCGTACATTAGCACAACCTCCTGTGTGTGTGTGTGTGTGTGTGTGTTACCGTGCATTAGGCTACGAGCTGACTGAGGATGGCACAGGCCAAGTCAATCATGCTGGATCTCTCCCTGTCGTTCCATTGAGACCTGTGGCTCATCAGGGGAGATAATTAGTCTGAAAAGCTTTAATGATACTTGCCTAATAGCTACACAAGGACACTGAGAGGCAGTGGTGTGTGTGTGTGTGTGCATTTGCATGTGGGATGCAGATAGATAATCGCATGTAGGTTGTTTCTATGGGAGGTGGTGAGTAAACAAATAAGTGGTCAAAATAATGTTTTCTGAATACACGTATTTGTGTGTTTTGCGTGGGTTGTGATAATATGCAAACTGATGGTGTAATGAATGTTGTGGCTATCTGGCTCCAACCCACACATGCAGGGCTACACACGTACAATATCCCTCTCTGTGAGCCTTCCTCCTGCGCCTATCATCATTGTTAGCATGGAGCCTTGAGTTTGCTTAAGCACAACACAACCTTGACACACACAAATCCACAGACACGGTGTGTGCGTGTATGTCTGGCAGTCAAAATTTTAAAGAGGTGGAGGATGCATCATGCATTAGTGTTGGGAAATGCTCTGAATTCCAATTAAATCAAAGCAGCTTTGTGAAAAATCACAATATAATCAAGTACGTTGCTGTGCTATGAGTGAAAATACCGCACTTACCCGTAAACACAATCAGTAGGGTATCAGACAGACTATACCCACACTATTAATAAAGTGAGTTTACTTAGTTTTTTCTTAAATGCCCCCAGTAAATGAAATCTTTTTGTTTGTATCCATGTAAGTAGGGACATCTGCGGAGTTAGAATTTGACCCGTATGATTCTGATTATTGTCCTTTTCTCAGTATAAGTTATAAAGTAGAAGAGTAATCCCATTATTGACTAAAGTAAGTTAAACATTGCTACACTGCTGCACTAACTGGCAATATAGCAACTTTCAGAATGGCCAGCTGACTTGTCACATAAAAAAACATCAATAAGCAATTTAACAAAATCTTGCTATATTAGAAAGCCTAGTAGGACTGCAGCAGTGAATCTGCATCAAATCTGCTGCAGTGACTTTGTAAAAACTAACTGTGGCTCATTTCCAGTGGAGACTCCCCTTCAGCTTATTGTTTGTGTGTTCTGCTGTTTCCCTGTTAAAGCCCAGAACAGGACCTAAAGAGGATATATTTCAATGGTCTGGTATTCATGTAAGAAACACATTAATTTCACTTTATTTTATGGTTAAAGATAGCGAGAAAGAATGCAAAACACAATAACCAACAAACACAGATGCCACAGAGCAGGTAAGTCAATTGGAATGTCTCAACAGCCCCTTTAAAGTCAGAACATTTTATTACAAGTCAGAACTGAAGCATGCTCTCAGCAGAGAGGTAGCACACATTTAGGAACAAAGAAAATAAGTCCATCTGCCTTGTATTTAATTATCTAGGATTAACATGAACTGAGAATTTAGATCAACATAAGCTGGTGCAGTTAGACACGAAATCGCCTCGTTCAAGGTTCTTCCAAAGACAGCACCATGCCCAGCTTCGAAGGAAAATATTTAGGTCACATGCAGTCCCACTGAGCATGATGCTGCAGAGAATGCAAACGGCACATATAATATCCATTTACGAGTACCTTTAATGGGTACCTGAGAAATCATTCAACAATCTAAAAGCTAGAGGACTTTCAGATTAACCTAATGATTTTAAAATTAGGTTGCTTTCTATAATATGGAAATAAGCATACAAAGGACCCTTTTTTCTTACAAGGATGAGTTCATGCATTGGTTCTATAATTGCCTGATTTTTGTTTGCTACCACACATTTAGCGCACAACCTGTGTTTTCTGGTGGCAATGCGAAAAAAGGCTGGGGGTGAATCCATGTAACAAAACCGGCTTTCAGTTCAGGTAGAGAGTAGGAAGGAGAAAGCAACAAAACAGCGAGCCATGTTAGTGGCATGCATTAATGGACCAGTATCGACTGATCTCAAAATGTTCGGATGCATCAGGAATGGGAGGAGATACCTCTCCATACCGATAATGCATTAGCACAAATGGAGTCTGTTGACGATAATCAAACATATAAAGCTGAACACCAACATACATGAATAGTCTCTCTTCAAAAAAGACAACCAAGAGTACCATCCATCCATCCATCCATTCTCCTCCGCTTATCCGGGGTCGGGTCGCGGGGGCAGCAGTCGGAGCAGGGAAACCCAGACTTCCCTCTCCCCGGCCACTTCAGCCAGCTCCTCCGGGGGGATCCCGAGGCGTTCCCAGGCCAGCCGGGACACATAGTCCCTCCAGCGGGTCCTGGGTCTTCCTCTGGGCCTTCTCCCGGTGGGACGAGCCCGGAACACCTCCCCAGGGAGGCGACCAGGAGGCATCCTGATCAGATGCCCGAGCCACCTCAACTGGCTCCTCTCCACGTGGAGGAGCAGCGGCTCTACTCTGAGCCCCTCCCGGATGGCCGAGCTTCTCACCCTATCTCTAAGGGAGAGCCCAGCCACCCTGCGGAGGAAACTCATTTCGGCCGCTTGTATCCGCGATCTCGTTCTTTCGGTCACTACCCAAAGCTCGTGACCATAGACGAGGGTGGGAACGTAGATCGACCGA